AGTGAAATTTTGTGCTAAAAAGTAGCGAAATTTTGGGCTACAAAGTAGCGAAAGTAGCCCAATATTGGGCTAAAAAGTTGCGAAAGTAGCGAAATTTTGGGTTAAAAAGTAGCAAAATTTTGGGCTAAAATAGCGAAAGTAGCCCAATTTTGGGCTAAAAAGTAGCGAAAGTAGCGAAATTTTGGGCTAAAAGTAGCAAAAGTAGCCCAATTTTGGGCTAAAAAGTAGCGAAATTTTGGGCTAAAAAGTAGCGAAATTTTGGGCTAAAAAGTAGCGAAATTTTGGGCTAAAAGTAGCAAAATTTTGGGCTACAAAGTAGCGAATTTTTTTGCTAAAAAGTAGCGACATTTTGGGCTAAAAGTAGCCCAATTTTGGGCTAAAAAGTAGCGAAAGTAGCTAAATTTTGGGCTAAAAGTAGCCCAATTTTGGGCTAAAAAGCAGCAAAAGTAGCGAAATTTTGGGCTAAAAGTAGCCCAATTTTGGGCTAAAAAGTAGCGAAAGTAGTGAAATTTTGTGCTAAAAAGTAGCAAAATTTTGTGCTACAAAGTAGCGAAATTTTGGGCTACAAAGTAGCGAAAGTAGCGAAATTTTGGGCTACAAAGTAGCGACATTTTGGGGTAAAAGTAGCCCAATTTTGGGCTAAAAAGTAGCGAAAGTAGCTAAATTTTGGGCTAAAAAGTAGCAAAATTTTGGGCTAAAAGTAGCCCAATTTTGTGCTAAAAACTAGCGAAAGTAGCAAAATTTTGTGTTAAAAAGTAGCGAAATTTTGGGCTAAAAGTAGCGAAAGTAGCCCAATTTTGGACTAAAAAGTAGCTAAAGTAGCAAAATTATGCTAAAAAGTAGCGAAATTTTGGGCTAAAAGTTGCGAAAGTAGCCTTATTTTGGGCTAAAAAGTAGCGAATTTTTGGGCTAAAAGTAGCCCAATTTTTATGCTAAAAAGTAGCGAAAGTAGCGACATTTTGTGCTAAAAAGTAGCGAAAGTAGCAAAATTTTGGGCTACAAAGTAGCGAAATTTTGGCCTACAAAGTAGCGAATTTTTTGCTAAAAAAGTAGCGAAATTTTGGGCTAAAAGTAGCGAAAGTAGCCCAATTTTGGGCTAAAAAGTAGCGAAATTTTGTGCTAAAAAGTAGCAAAATTTTGGGCTACAAAGTAGCAAAATTCTGGGCTACAAAGTAGCGAATTTTTTTGCTAAAAAGTAGCGACATTTTGGGCTAAAAGTAGCCCAATTTTGGGCTAAAAAGTAGCGAAAGTAGCTAAATTTTGGGCTAAAAAGTAGCAAAATTTTGGGCTAAAAGTAACCCAATTTTGGGCTAAAAAGTAGCGAAAGTAGCGACATTTTGCTACTTTTTAGCAAAAAAATTCGCTACTTTGTAGCCCAGAATTTTGCTACTTTGTAGCCCAAAATTTTGCTACTTTTTAGCACAAAATTTCGCTACTTTTAGCCCAAAATTTCGCTACTTTCGCTACTTTTTTAGCAAAAAATTCGCTACTTTGTAGCCCAAAATTTTGCTACTTTCGCTACTTTTTAGCACAAAACGTCGCTACTTTCGCTACTTTTTAGCCCAAAATTGGGCTACTTTTAGCCCAAAAATTTGCTACTTTTTAGCCCAAAATAAGGCTACTTTCGCAACTTTTAGCCCAAAATTTCGCTACTTTTTAGCACAAAATTTTGCTACTTTAGCTACTTTTTAGTCCAAAATTGGGCTACTTTCGCTACTTTTAGCCCAAAATTTCGCTACTTTTTAGCAAAAAGTAGCGAAATTTTTGGCTAAAAGTAGCCCAATTTTGGGCTAAAAAGTAGCGAAATTTTGGGCTAAAAGTAGCCCAATTTTGGGCTAAAAAGTAGCGAAATTTTGTGCTAAAAAGTAGCGAAATTTTGGGGTACAAAGTAGCAAAATTTTGGGTTACAAAGTAGCGAATTTTTTGCTAAAAAGTAGCAAAAGTAGCTAAAGTTTGGGCTAAAAGTAGCCCAATTTTGGGCTAAAAAGTAGCGAATGTAGCGAAATTTTGGGCTAAAAGTAGCAAAAGTAGCGAAATTTTGGGCTAAAAAGTACCGAAAGTAGCGAAATTTTGGGCTAAAAAGTAGTGAAAGTAGCGAAATTTTGTGCTAAAAAGTAGCTAAAGTAGCAAAATTTTGGGCTACAAAGTAGCGAAAGTAGCGAATTTTTTTTTTTGCTAAAAAGTAGCGAAATTTTGGGCTACAAAGTAGCAAAAGTAGCCCAATTTTGGGCTAAAAAGTAGCGAAAGTAGCAAAATTTTGGGCTAAAAGTTGCGAAAGTAGCCCAATTTTTGGCTAAAAAGTAGCGAAATTTTGGGCTAAAAAGTAGCGAAATTTTGGGCTAAAAGTAGCCCAATTTTGGGCTAAAAATACCGAAAGTAGCGAAATTTTGAGCTAAAAGTAGCGAAAGTAGCCCAATTTTGGGCTAAAAAGTAGCGAAATTTTGGGCTAAAAAGTAGCAAAATTTGGGGCTAAAAGTAGCCCAATTTTGGGCTAAAAAGTAGCGAAATTTTGGGCTAAAAAGTATCGACATTTTGGGCTAAAAGTTGCCCAATTTTGGGCTAAAAAGTAGCGAAAGTAGCAAAATTTTGGGCTAAAATGTAGCGAAAGTAGCAAAATTTTGGGCTAAAAGTAGCCCAATTTTGGGCTAAAAAGTAGCGAAATTTGGGGCTAAAAAGTAGCGAAAGTAGCAAAATTTGGGGCTAAAAAGTAGCGAAAGTAGCCCAATTTTGGACTAAAAAGTAGCGAAAGTAGTGAAATTTTGGGCTAAAAGTAGCGAAAGTAGCCCAATTTTGGGCTAAAAAGTAGCGAAAGTAGCGAAATTTTTGGCTAAAAAGTAGCAAAAGTAGCGAAATTTTGGGCATCCTGGGTGTGGCAGGTTATGACTACATAAGTCTTGTAGTGCACTAAACAGTTGAATGGGAAGAAGTGTGGGAACACTGAGCAAGAGGTGAGGGGGGAGGATGTAGAAATGGAGAGAGGTAAGGGGGGGTTATGGAAAAGGAAACCAATTGATAGCAAGTGCAGGGAGGTTTAGAACAGGAAGAAAGGGTAAGTTAAGACATGTTATTCTTACCTGTGATTGATTTCGGACTGATAGAAAAGGCCATTGATCCAGAACTTAGCTTCGCCTATTCCCCCAATTTCATTCACTGTTCCCTTTTCAGCTAGAGCTGTCAAGTCACTATAGATAACCTCTCGGTGTATCATCACAACACACTTATCTGTGAATTGCGTTAACAAAAAATAAAGGCATGCATCAAAACGCGAACAATACCAACAGGGATACGACTAGGATGAAATAGTTGCATTGACACTTGGATTAAAATAAGACACGAACACTGGCAGCAAAAGCAGTGACAGAAAGTTTGCTCGTAAGTTTCAGCATCATTAGCTGTTGGAGCACTGGCCGTGTAGCTAACGGAGAAAGCAAATGCAGACGGGATAGTCATGTCAAGAGTGGCAGCAACAAGGAGGGCCCGTCGAGGTCTCATATCGGGTTGTGTGGACTGACTCGGGCTGGACCGCGTCGGCCACAGCCTCACCACAGAAACTAGAGACTTTGCCACATGAACTGCCACGTTTTTCTTCCCACTCAGAATCTTGAACATTTGTTTAATGTTATAGTACCCATGCTGACTTATTCCACCCCTTTCCTGCTTATTACTGGGCAGTAAGTACCCAGCCTGTCGAACAAATGATGTAGATAATTATTTGGGGTAGTTTGCCAAATATTGGAGTGACCCCAATCATGTCCAGCATTAGTCATTTATCAGCAACATTAAATTTTGCCTATGTGACTCCTGAAAGTAAGACCGATATCTTAAGTAACAAATTTAACAAGGATTATGGCTATGAATAACCATCAGGTTTTAACTTAAGTCTTGAGGAATAATTATTGATACAATCATCAGTAGATAAATGTTTATATAATGTACAAAATGAATAATTTTAATAGTCTATAGTGACATACCAAACCCAACGAAAACTAAATGTTACTTATGTGTTGATATTGGTAAAGTTACTTTCGAACAAAATTCTTCACAGAAGCAACATCTTCATAACTGATGGGATTGCATGCCTGGTGACAAACAATAGTGTCGTACAAACAATGCATTTAATTAAGTTTACTACATAACTTAATTGTAACAGAGGACAGTTCAGGAAGAATTCAAATACAGTACTAATCTAAACAGTGACAATTTGTTCTTCACAAATTGATTAAATACATTTTTCATAACTAAGACATTATAAACATCATTGAAACAAGTGACACTCGCAGTTCAATGTAGGCTCCGTCACCATAGCAAAACAAAGTAGAATTACAATAGTTCAAGAAACAAATTCAACGAGACAAATGAAATGAATGCAGCAGATGCGTGCAAGACTTGTACAGTCTCACGTACACAAACCATTCTATACTCTCAACATCTATACACATCAGCCATAACCAGTTGCCAGCTAATCATGTCTCATTCATTCCTCCTTTTAAAACATACATCCATTCTAACATGGTCACTCAATTTACACTTGCATAATTCATAATTTCACACATTTGCATGCAGCCCACACACACACCATTATTATTATTATTATTATTATTATTATATATATATATATATATATATATATATATATATATATATATATATATATATATATATATATATATATATAATATATATATATATATAATATATATTGTATGCATGCGAACAAGCCTGAATGGTCCCCAGGACTATATGCAACTGAAAACTCACACCCCAGAAGTGACTCGAACCCATACTGCCAAGGAGCACTCTGCTAAACCTTAACTTGTTAAGGGATTCTGCACGCCAGCAGAGTGCTCCTGGCAGTATGGGTTCGAGTCACTTCTGGGGTGTGAGTTTTCAGTTTTATTATATTATATATATCTCACACAGTATATATCAGTAGCCAGAACACACTTCTCGGTCTACTATGCAAGGTCTAATTTGCCTAATAGGCCGAGTTTTTATTAAAAAATGTCAATTGGTTTATTTGTATTATATTAAGAACCTAAATTATTGACTTAATTCTGTTAATTTAGGTTCGATCATATATCTACGTTAGTTTTAATTCAAATTTAAAAAAAATTAACTCATACATCATGAAAGTGATGTATTATCACTATCATTTCATAAGAAAAAATGTGAAAAAATATATAAATTCAAGAAAACTTGGCTTATCAGGCCTTGCATAGTAAGCAGAGTACTGCATTCTGGCTACTAGGTAATATTACATACACACACACACGCGCAAACGCACGCACACTGTATAACCATGTTTATGTAAGAAAATAATCACATAACTCACTTTCACATAATAGACACGTATTTCCAGATTTCTTACCTAGAAATTCAAATTAATGGGGTTCATATCAGTGGTCATTAACAAATCTTTGTAACTGGAGTACTAATACCCTCTTGAATGTGACCCATCAACAAGACAAGTCAGCAAAGTTGCATGCTTGATTTCAGTGCAACTTGTACCATCCTGTAAAGCAACGATGGGTTATCGTCGACTCATTCCAGTTTGATTGCTTCAGTAAGGGTTCCAGCGAGATGAACGACGTCTTGGTGTGACTGGACTAAAAACGTTGTCTCTGGCACCGGGACTAAGCGGGTCTCTTTTGGGTCCCTCTGGTGGCCAGTAGGGCGTTCTTGGAAGTGAGGGATGGAACTTTGACCCGGTGGGAGTTCTTGTAGGTGTTTCTCTCGATTCTTCGATTTGTGCTGCTGGTTCCTCACTTTGGAGGGGAGAACGATAGGGTCTCGGGCCACGGTACTGTCTTGGCCGGCCTGCTTGCTCGTACTGGTTCTTTTGAACCCAGCGTGGTGCTGGGCGGTGGGGGCCGATACCTGATCCTCGCTCTTGGTAGAAGTAAGGGTCATATTGCGGCGCCACTCGCCCGTGATATCGTTCGTCGTAGTACTGGCGTGCCTCGTACGGTGATGGTGCCTTTTGCTGTTTTGGTAATTCCTGGGGACTTTGTCTTGGCGAAGCTCCTTTCCAGGGTGCCCAACCCTCTCTTCTTTCGCGCAGGTTGCCCGGGGAAAGACTCCACCTTCTAGCTGGTTCTTTGGACCAGGGGCTCCATTCTGCCTCATTGTTGCGGTTCTCCCAGTTGTTGCTGTGGGAGGCAAAAAAAAAAAAAAACTTTAAAAAATCGCTAAAAATCATGGTCTCAAGCATATTTAACATTAGTGTTTACTCATTGGCTACTAATGAACAGTAGTTCTCAACGTGGAGAAGACAAGGAAACTAACCAAATATAAAGTGATTTGTTGAGAAACCAATCAACATGGTCCTGAAAACGACTCCCATTAAAACTGCATTTATTACTGATAGACACAGCCCTCTCATTAACTTCAATAGGTGTTCTCTATGCTCACTTGCGATAGAAAAATTATTCCAATAAAACCATTTGGTTGAAACTATGCTTATTGGTTTGTCTATCTGTGCACAGAGTCGATCCGCTGTGGGGTTGGGAGAACCCCACGGTTCAATTTACAAAATTGAATCATTGCACAACCATTGTTCAAAAATCAAGATACAAGATAAAATTGGTTCAGAGCCCAATCACAAAGTTTATTAGAAGAAAAAAAATACTAGTTCCTAATTTGTAATTCAAACTTAAAAGGGTGAAAATATTTTAACTGCATAAAAGTTTTAATAATGCTCAGAAACAAGCATTAACAATCACTTATTAATCAACGCAGATTATGTCAGGAAGGTTATAGTTTTTATAACGGCTAAGAACTTGTACTATCTGCATGTATTGTTGTGCTGCGAACTACAACAAAGTGGTTGTAGCTGAATGTATTGTGAAATTTATATTGTTACTTCTTGTTATTGCTTGAATTATAACACAACCTACAAATATGAATGACGTGAAAGTATAGTTGGCTTTGAACTCGACTCATAATCGGGAATCCTGGGTTCGATTTCCGGCGGGACAGAAATGGTTGGGCACGTTTTCTTTTACCTAATGCCTCCGTTTTCCTAGTAGTAAATAATTACCCCTGGAGTTAGACGAATGTTTCAGAGTTTACATTCTAAGGAGGGTCAATAGTGTTGGTTGGATACCCAACCAACACATCTCAATTTCTTACTATAAATAATTTTTTTTAACCACAAAGACAGACCCAAAAAAAAATATGGGAGCTAAATTAAAACTGTAGCAGCAGACTGGGTTAATGTGCACCGATTATATATAGTTCACACATTAATGACATAAATCATGCTCACTTTTCTCGTATTACATAATAACGTATTAAAAAATCACACGACAAATAAGTCACTTCAAGACCTTATGCCAAAAATATTTCACTTTTAACTGCCAAAATGTGACAAAAACTATCATGCAGAACATTACATAAAAAGGACCAGAGGTAAGGCCAACACCACACGAGTCGCACTAATCACTGCTTGAGAAATGGTGTAGAACAGAGAGGAGTTACGCGTGTGTGATTAAAACACGAAGAATGGAAAAAAAAAACTAACTGCGTATGGAAAACAGATCAATAGAACAAAACCAAAAGGAGAGAAGCAATATTAAAATGATATGCACCTGGATATCAGGATGGGGTTCTTATACTCCAAACCTCGGCCATGTTTGACTTGTGAGAGCTTGGTTCAACGGGCTGTTGCTTGGCGCAGCCCGCAGGCCCACATAACCACCACAGCCTGGTTTGTCCAGCACTTTTTGAAGAAAACTATCTAGTTTTCTCTTGAAGATCTCCATGGTTGTTCCAGCAATATTTCTTATACTCGCTGGAAGTATGTTGAACAACCGTGGACCTCTGATGTTTGTGCAGTATTCTCTTATTGTGCCTATGACACCCCTACTCTTCACTGGTGCTATTCTGCATTTTCTTCCAAATTGTTCACTTCAGTATATTACTTTAATGTGTAGGTTTGGGACCTGACACTCCGGTATTTTCCATGTGTGTATTATTTAATATCTCTTGTCCCCTTTCTAGGGAGTACATTGAAGAGCTTTCAGACGATCCCAATAATTTAGGTGCTTTATCATGTCAAGGTATATGTTCTCTGTATTCCCTCTATTTCAGCAACCTCTCCTGCTCTGAAGGGGAAGTGAGTATCGAGCAGTATTCAAGACGGGACAGCACAAATGATTTGAATAATACAACCATTGTGATGGGATCCCTAGATTTGACGGTTCTTGAAATCCATCCTATAATTTTTCTGGCAGACGCAATATTTGCTTGGTTATGCTCTCTAAACGTTAGGTCGTCAGACCTCATTATTCCCAAATCCTTTACATGCTGCTTTCCTAGTATGGGCACATTTGATTGTGTTTTATACCCTGGATTTTCTTTAAGGTCCTCATTTTTGCAGTACCTGGAATTTATCACTGTTAAACCACGTAATTTTCAGTTCCCCAGTCGAAAATTTTAATAATATCTTCTTGTAGTTATTCAATGTCGTCAGCAGAGATAATTTTCATGTTAATTTTTGAATCATCTGCAAAGGATGATACGAAGCTGTCACTTGTATTTTTGTTTTTGTCTATATCTGATTTGGGAATAAGGAAAAGCAGTGGTGCAAGGACTGTACCTTGAGGTACAGAGCTTTTAACTACCTTTTTATTTGGTTGACTGTTACTTTGTTCTGTTAGACAGAAAATTTAATATCCATCGACTTACTTTACCTGGTAATTCCATTGAGTTCATTTTGTGTGCTATCACTCCATGGTCACATTTATCAAATGCCTTTGCAAAGTCCGAGTACTTTGTGCAGATGAGTCACAATAACGTGGCACAAAAATTCGTGTACTTTGTTTTTTCTTCTAATGACTCGGTGATTTTGTTGTAGTTGTCAAGTAGCTACGAGAGGCATGATCTTGCCACTCTAAATCAATATTGGCCTGTGTTGCGAAGGTCATTGAAATTCAGGAAACTGGTGACCCGACTCCTGATCATGCTCTCAAATACTTTTATGTGGGACGTTAGTGCAACAGGTCTATAATTCTTAGCCAATGCTTTGATCCATTCCTTATTTAGAGGAGCTATGTCTGCTGATTTAGGCGCATCTGGTATCTCACCCGTGTCCAAGCTCGTCCTCCACACTGTATTGAGTACACCAACCCTGATATACCAGTGCCCAGACTTAAGGCACAACCCTTAGTTTCTACATACTTGTAGTGTCCTAATACAAAATGGCGAGGAGGTGCGTGAGGTACCAAGTGGAGCTGAAACAGAGGGAATACAGAGAACATATACGGCACGCATAGACGCGATAAAGCACCTAAATTATTGGGATCGTCTCAAAGCCCTCCAAATGTACTCACTAGAAAGAAGACGAGAGAGAGATATCAAATAACATACACCTGGAAGATACTGGAGGGCCAAGTACCAAATTTACACAGTAAAATAACAACGTACTGGAGTGAACGATATGGAAGAAAATGCAGAATAGAACCAGTGAAGAGCAGGGGTGCCATAGGCACAATCAGAGAACACTGTATAAACATCAGAGGTCCCCGGTTGTTCAACACCCTCCCAGCAAGCATAAGAAATATTGCCGGAACAACCGTGGACATTTTCAAGAGGAAACTAGATTTATTCTTCCAAGGAGTGCCGGACCAACCGGGCTGTGATGGGTATGTGGCCCTGCGGGCCGCTCCAAGCAACAGCCTAGTGGACCAAACTCTCACAAGTCAAGCCTGGCCTTGGGCCGGGCTTGGGGAGTAGAAGAACTCCCAGAACCCCATCAACCAGGTATCAACCAGGTACCAGGTAGGAGGAGAATCCCCCCCCCCCCTCCAACAGTCCACTAAACGTTAGAATAAATGAAACTGTAGGAGGACCGTTGGCCCATACGAACCAGCTCCTGTTTATATGCACGGAAAGAAATGCAGCAAAGAACCAACGAGGAGTAGAGGTGCCATAGGTAAAAATCTGAGCTCTGTATTTACAACAGAGGTCCACACCTGTTTAATACCCTCCCAACAAGCATGAGAAATATTGCCAGAACTAAGGTGGACTTCTTCAAAAAGCAATCAAAAAGCAACAACAACCTGTTGGACCATGTTAGAAGCCTGAAGCCCGGCCAGAGCTCAGAAGCCCCCACACTCGGGGAGTAGAAATACCTCCAAAACCTTCTCCAGGTATGAACTCATTTATATAAATACAAATTATTATTATATTATACATGAAATACATTTGAAACATTATACATTGGATTTTGTATTCATAGGCACACAATGTAGATAATATAAAGCAAGGAATATGCAGAGCGCTGAAACAATCCATCATGCTCACATCAATTGTGTAACCCGATAATTTGTTCCCTAAATGAACATCCCTGTCTCCAAACCAATATTTATTCATGTCTTTCCCAAATCTAACTTATCCAATTTATATCTATTATTTCGAATATCATTTTAAATTGATATATTTAAAATATTTCTCTCTCTCATCCATTTATATACTTTCATCATGTCACACATTCTCTAGTAAGACGAGTAAAGGGAGAATTAAGCTTTTATCTTCATAAGAATTGTTTCCAAGTTCTACAAAATTTGCAAATCCTGTGTAAATCATTTATAAAAATTAAACAAAAAGAGGCCTCAAGACAGAACCTTCAGAAAAACACATTACAAGTTTCTCACTTAGTCCTGAACCCCATTTATGCTAACTTTCTGGTTTCTTTGAAATTACTAGACTATAATCCAATTTGGGATAAGCCCTACACCCCACCCCCACCAAATACCATCGGGTTTCTTTAATTTTGTAATAAACCTTGTGTTGCACAGTATCAAAGGCCATGCTAAAGATACAACGTCACAATCCTTCTCGCTATAAACTGCTTCAAATATATTGGATAAAGAATGGCAGTAAATGTATTCAATATGAGCAATCCTTAATAAAACCATGGTAATAATACTGGATATTATTTTATTTGGTTTCTCCAACCTGTCCATTGAACCTATTGGTAAATCTTAAAAGATCAATATGAGGCCATGTTTGGCACCCCCAATAAACAACATACCAGAAGCATACCTGGAGAGGGTTCAGAGAGTTTTTCAACTCCCGGAGCCTGGCCTGGGGCCAGGCTCCCAATGCCAGGCTTGACTTGTGATAACTTGGTCCTGCAGGCTTGGAGCGGCCCACAGGCCCACATACTCACTACAACCTGGTTGGTCCAGCACTTCTTACAAGAACTTGTCTAAATGCCTCTTCAAGACATCCACCTTTGTTCCGGCAATATTTCTAATGCTTGCTGGGAGGGTGATGAACAGCCGTGGACCCCTGATGTTCAAACAGTGCTCTCTGATTGGCACCTCTACTCCACACTGGTTCTATTCTGCATTTCCTTCCGTATCTTTTGCTCCAGTATGTTGTTATTCTGTGTAAATTTTGGACCTGGCCTTCCAGTATCTTCCATGTTTATGGTATTTAATACCTCTCTCATTTCGTTTTTACATTTCGTTTCTCTCTCATGGTCGGATATTACCACAAACTCGGAAGACTTTGAAAGAGAAATTGACAATATGCCTGTGCACTCGGCTCCTGGGCCTGACTCGTGGAATTCAATATTCATAAAGAAATGTAAAGTACCAGTAGCGAGAGCACTCAGCGTAATATGGAGAAAGAGCCTGGATACAGGGGAGATACCAGCAGCACTTAAATCTGCAGATATAGCTCCGTTGCACAAGGGGGGGGGGGATAAAGCCTTGACAAAAAATTATAGGCCAGTTGCACTAACATCACACATAATAAAAGTGTTTGAAAGAGTGATTGAGAATCAAATTTCTAGTTTTATGGAAAACAATGAATTGCACAATCCAGGACAACATGGATTTACAGCGGGACGATCCTGTCTGTCACAGTTACTCAACCACTATGACAAAATCACAGAAGCCCTAGAAGAAAAGCAAAATGCAGATGTTGTATGCACAGACTTTGCAAAGGCGTTCGACAAATGTGACCATGGGGTGATAGCTCACAAAATGAGGTCAATAGGAATAACTGGAAAAGTAGGACACTGGATACTCAATTTCCTGTCGAACAGAACACAAAGAGTAACAGTCAATCAGATAAAATCGAGTCCAAGCGATGTTAAAAGCTCTGTACCTCAATGTACAGTCCTTGCACCGCTACTGTTCCTTATTCTCATATCTGATAGACAAAAATACACGTCACAGCTTCGTGTCGTCCTTTGCAGATGACACAAAAATCATCATGAAAATTACCTCTGCTGAAGACATTGAAAAACTACAAGCAGATGTCAACAAAGTTTTTGATTGGGCAGCAGAAAATAACATGATGTTTAACAGTGATAAATTTCAGGTACGGCAAAAATGAGGATCTGAAACATAATACAGGGTACAAAACACAATCGAATCTTCCCATAGTAGAAAAACAGCATGTCAAGGATTTGGGAATAATGATGTCCGACGATCTAACGTTTAGGGAGCACAACCAAGCAAATATCGCGTCAGCCAGAAAAATGATCGGATGGATTACGAGAACTTTCAAATCCAGGGATCCCATCACAATGGTTGTACTCTTCAAGTCACTTGTGTTGTCCCGTCTCGAGTACTGCTCAGTACTCACTTCCCCCTTCAGAGCAGGAGAGATTGCTGAAATAGAGGGAATACAGAGAACATATACGGCACGCATAGACGAGATAAAACACCTAAATTATTGGAATCGTCTCAAAGCTCTCCAAATGTGTACTCTAGAAAGGAGACGAGAGAGATACCAAATAATATACACATGGAAAATAATGGAGAGTCGGGTCCCAAATCTACACAGTAAAATAACAACGTACTGGAGTGAACGATATGGAAGAAAATGCAAGATTGAACCAGTGAAGAGCAGAGGTGCCATAGGCACAATCAGAGAGCACTGTATAAACATCAGAGGTCCGCGGTTGTTCAACGTCCTCCCAGCGACTATAAGAAATATTGCCGGAACAACCGTGGACATCTTCAAGAGAAAACTGGACGGTTTTCTAAGAGAAGTTCCGGATCAGCCGGGCTGTGGTGGGTATGTGGCCCTGTGGGCCGCTCCAAGCAACAGCCTGGTGGACCAGACTATCACAAGTCAAACCTTGCCTCGGGCCGGGCTTGGGGGAGTAGGAGAACTCCCAGAACCCCATCAACCTGGGTATCAACCAGGTATAGAGTACACTTTGAGACGATCCCCCATACCTCTGTACCGTTACATAATGGTCATACAACCTGGGATTCCACTGAATCCAGAGTGTATGGCAGTCACATGTAAAAACTTTGACTGGCCTTCAGACGTCCTGTGGATTCAGTGACATCCCAGGGTGTATAACCATGTCACTGTACAGAGATAAGGTGCATGGCTGGGAGTATTCGCTGGTTAAAGTTACTACTTGCTTGATACCTGCTTGATGAGGTCCTGGGAGTTGTTCTACTTGCTATCAATTTTCTCATGGTCCATATTGCTAATGATATTCCTGAGCCTGTATAGCAACATCTCATTTTATTTTCGTTATCTTTAGCACGAAAAGTCCTGTCCAGATACCCTGCCTGGAACCTACATCTAAATCAGTGTGATTACTATATATCCTTTTGTTGGCCAGCATACCTGGAGAGGGTTCTGGGAGTGCTTCTACTCCCCGAGCCCGGCCCGAGGCCCGACCGCCTGGAGACTGAGCTATCATCTCGCAACACTCGTCCTCCAGGGCAGAGAAGGCATTTGAAATCCTTACAGCAGGAGCAACTAATCTATAAAAAAATGGACAGACACCACCAAATAACAGGGAGGCTGATACTGTTAGTACGGTACCAGCAATGAAATTAAACATCTTGATTTGAATATAGTTAATATAGTATTCGATAAAATCTTGCCACAGCTCCGAAGGATACCTGATCAACCAGGCTGCGAGCACCAACGTCTAATAGCCTGGTTGACCAGACCACCAACCAGGAGGGCTAGTTACGTCGAGACTGGCCTGCATGGAATATTGATACCCAAAGCCAACAACTGGTAGCCACACGACTGCAGAAGATGCAAACTGACTGAAATATGAATGGAGGAATTATGCCCCCTTCCCCTCAGAAAAGTACTTTATAAAGTTATAAGAAAGGATCCCAAGAACAGAACACGATGATCTGGAAACAGCTACCCGAGTTAGAAAGTAAAATGTTCTAGGAATCAACAATGCCAAATACAATACTGGAACACGCATGAACAGACCAACACTGTGCAGAAGCCTGCATAGCATGTTAGGCAAACATGTGAGCAGCAATGGCGAACCTTGAACACTATCTACACGAGACCAGTACTGGAATATGCGGGTTCTGCAAGACATAAAAAGTACAAAAAAGACTTTATAATAGAGAAGAGAGAGGGAGCATGATCACAACATTTTGTACAAGATTCTTAGGAGGACTTAATAGGCGTAAACAGAGACGAGATGTTCAGATGTGGAAGAAAAATCCCGGGCATGTAAGGAAGCAGTTATTTTGTGTGAGAATACCACCCATCCTCCCGTTTAGATAGCAGTTTATGTGCACCACAGTACAAAGATTGACGTTCTAAGCAATTAGATAGTAGAATTTTGTACTATACACTTAATAGTCCGAAAAAATGAAACTAAAAACAAGCATATTTCTAGGCCTAGTATAGCACAGATATGTACTATATTAGGCCTCGGATATCTTTTATTAGGCCTTGGACAGTTAGGTTAGTTTGTCTTTGCAACATCAATAGCAAATCTTTTCCAGTTTGTCCAAATTCAATAGTGCCGATTTATACTTTCTAATTACGTTGTACGTCAGTCTATGTACTATGGTCCTCATCATTACTATAAGTACCACCAAAACAGGAGGATGGACTGGAGAATAATACTTGAATTTAATGAGATAGGTGAAGAGTTAATCACGGCTAACTATTTGCAATTATAAAAGCAAGTATGATAAAAACAATAGTGTCTGGCGTCATTGTATCACGTGACTGACAACACAGTAAGGTGAGGTTCTTCGAGCAGGGACTCTGCCGAGCAAGCACACCTCTGAGTACGTGTCCTACCGAAGGCTCCAGAGTCGTAGATGCCCTTAAACGAGCTTCCTCTAGAGTCACCTCCTTGAGAGTTTCCACTCAGGGCCACGGGACCCTCCGGTAGTGCCCTGGGTCCGAGTCCGAGTCTCCAAAGGACCTCCTCGGGTGTTCTCAGCACTGTCCCATGGTCAGCAGGGAGAGAGAAATCGACTGTAAATGTCATTCTGTGCTGCCTTTCTTTCCTCTTAACTCTCTTCCCTGACCCCCCCCCCCCCCTTTTCTCCACCTCTAGGAAAAGGTACTTGTGGAGAGAGAACAGAAAAATTGGAAAATAATGATTAATAATAAGAGAAGCGATAATATACATACGGAAGGGGAAGGGGGTTATTGAAATAATCAAACTAATCACTTGCAATAATAATGGAATATATTAGTTTATTCCATTAATCTGTATTTTTATCATTTTAAATAGAACTTATAATTCAATGATTATAATTTCTGCAGCGTACATAAAGATTACTACTGGTTTCTTAAGGTCTCCTTTAGGCCTAGAATTAATTATTAAAACACCTTTTTTAACGTCTTAAAACAAAACGTAGTAATGTGTACGTTCTCGGCAATTCAATTTAGGTTCATCCATCTAATTAAGAACACTTTTGCAACCATTCGCCCTCGCCCACAGGAACTCGTGCCTACCTTCTCATTGACAGTTGAGAGGCGGGACCAAAGAGCCAGAGCTCAACCCCGCAAGCACAGGTATACCAAGGCACCACCACGAGACCTTAATTAAACCACCAAAGCGCCCAACCGCGGTGATGCGGTTACCAACTGTACCTTTGGGAATAGTTGAGGGGAGGTCTCCTGCTGCTGGCGGGGCCCCGGGAGGAGTTGGGGGTGAGGGAGGTGGTTGTGGGGACGTCGGCGGGCACCACGTCCTTTATCCACCGTGCCTGACGCAGGTCCGCCAAGTAGTTCTCCCGTTCCTGCACGTGGCCGCGGGCACTGTTGAAATCTGTAGACAGGAAAACAGAGATGAAGAAACGACGGAACAGCGTTAAAAGTCAATACAACGTCTCGGGTTTTGACGAAGACTTAAATTGTTTATAGATTGAAATGCGCACGCACGCGCGCGCGCGCACACGCGCGCGCACACACACACACACACACACACACACACACACACACACACACACACACACACACACACACACAGAGGGGCCTCGCAGCTGAATGGACAGCGCTCTGGGGTCGTAATCCTAAGGGCCAGGGTTCGATCATAGGCACAAACAAATAGGCAGTTTATTTCACTCTGTTGCTCCTGTTCACCTAAGAGTAGATAGGTACATTGTAGTTAGAAAGCTGCCACGGGCTGCTTCTTGGGGATGTGTGTGTGTGTGTGTGTGTGTGTGTGTGTGTGTTAGAAATATATGTAGTATAAATAATAGAGGAAAACTAAATGTTAGAAAAGCGGAGTCCAAGAGCTAATGGCTCGATTCTGCAGATACAAACAGTAAATACACACACAGGTACAAGGGATGAGATATGAAGAGCGACTGAAGGAACTGAACTTGACGTTAGAGGAAAAAAAAAGATAAGATGCTCAGATGAGTCAGAGAGATGTTAGAAGTTTTCTTTTAGTGTGAGAGTAGTGGGGAAATGGAATGAACTGAATGAGCACATTGTGGAAGTTCACTTACTATTCATTTAAACTAGTTTTAAACCTAGGTATGATAGAAGAACACGAGTCATTGCTTTTAACAACAGGCGGCATCCAAGAGCCAACACTCTGCAGGCACAAATAGGTGAATACATACACACGCGAAAGGTGGCAAGTAGGAAGGTGAAATCTAATATATAACCAAATCGTTCCGTGCCCTTCAGTCTAGGTGAACTAGAGTCAGGAGCCACCTGCCAGATACCTGGTTGATGGGGTTCTGAGAGTTCTTCTACTCCCCAAGACCGGCCCGAGGCCAGGCTTGACTTGTGAGAGTTTGCTCCACCAGGCTGTTGCTTGGAGCAGCCCGCAGGCCCACATATTGAATATGGTACACCATATTTGTGGTGGATATCACCAAGAACTACGAGTTGGACATAAACCTTCACCTATTATATACTAAACTACCAACAATTTCGAGACGCTTATCTCTGCAACATTGTTTACACGGAAGCATCTACAGATCCAGCACAAGGGGTGACCCGTTACCAAACTCGCAGGATGGGGAAAAAGACCACACAGCAGCAGCGTGCTCAAGGACCCAATAAGCTTTGTGCTTTAAGAAGCAACTTCTAAGGGAGGACAAATAGGCAACAATCCACTTCTACGCTGGTAGAGGCTAGACCAGGTGTCCGGGCCGGCCACGGTGGGAGGCCAGGTGTCCGGGCCCGCCACGGTGGGAGGCCAGGTGTCCGGGCCCGCCACGGTGGGAGGCCAGGTGTCCGGGCCCGCCACGGTGGGAGGCCAGGTGTCCGGGCCCGCCACGGTGGTAGGCCAGGTGTCCCGGCCGGCCACGGTGGGAGGCCAGGTGTCCGGGCCGGCCACGGTGGGAGGCCAGGTGTCCGGGCCGGCCACGGTGGGAGGCCAGGTGTCCGGGCCGGCCACGGTGGGAGGCCAGGTGTCCGGGCCGGCCACGGTGGGAGGCCAGGTGTCCGGGCCGGCCACGGTGGGAGGCCAGGTGTCCGGGCCGGCCACGGTGGGAGGCCAGGTGTCCGGGCCGGCCACGGTGGGAGGCCAGGTGTCCGGGCCGGCCACGGTGGGAGGCCAGGTGTCCGGGCCGGCCACGGTGGGAGGCCAGGTGTCCGGGCCGTCCACGGTGGGAGGCCAGGTGTCCGGGCCGTCCACGGTGGGAGGCCAGGTGTCCGGGCCGGCCACGGTGGGAGGCCAGGTGTCCGGGCCGGCCACGGTGGGAGGCCAGGTGTCCGGGCCGGCCACGGTGGGAGGCCAGGTGTCCGGGCCGGCCACGGTGGGAGGCCAGGTGTCCGGGCCGGCCACGGTGGGAGGCCAGGTGTCCGGGCCGGCCACGGTGGGAGGCCAGGTGTCCGGGCCGGCCACGGTGGTAGGCCAGGTGTCCCGGCCGGCCACGGTGGTAGGCCAGGTGGCCCGGCCGGCCACGGTGGTAGGCCAGGTGTCCAGGCCGGCCACGGTGGTAGGCCAGGTGTCCAGGCCGGCCACGGTGGTAGGCCAGGTGTCCAGGCCGGCCACGGTGGTAGGCCAGGTGTCCAGGCCGGCCACGGTGGTAGGCCAGGTGTCCATGCCGGCCACGGTGGTAGGCCAGGTGTCCATGCCGGCCACGGTGGTAGGCCAGGTGTCCCGGCCGGCCACGGTGGTAGGCCAGGTGTCCCGGCCGGCCACGGTGGTAGGCCAGGTGTCCCGGCCTGCCACGGTGGTAGGCCAGGTGTCCCGGCCGGCCACGGTGGTAGGCCAGGTGTCCCGGCCGGCCACGGTGGTAGGCCAGGTGTCCCGGCCGGCCACGGTGGGAGGCCAGGTGTCCCGGTCAGAGCACGGAACACCAACGGAGGCGTCGTACACCAGGAGGGAGAGTTATGTCGGCTTAAATCACTGGTACAACAATAGCAGGAGCTGAAGAGATCTGTGCCGGAGTTGATCACGCTGACACGAGGCTGGACACGTGTGATGGCTATCATGATGCACGGCCAGCCCACCTTCAGCGTCTTCTGCACCGCCTGCGGCAGGTGGCTACCACATCTGCCTCCCAGGTACAGTCAAACTGGTGCTCCATCCTTAAAGTTAGCAGCCTACAGCGGTCCAGCAGTTAGCAATCTTTGGCGTCGTGTGGCTCTACAACATCCTGCTATGTTGAGTTTACCTCAACACTATGTTGAGGTGATCAACATGGTGTTGCGTGTTGCTAACTGGCTCCGGGAGTTCCATCTCTTGGTCCCTGGCTTACAACTCTTGGTTAACGGTTACAACACACTACCTCCCAGTCACCACAGCTGAGAAATGCCCGACACGCCACTGAAACATTACAATTGTAAAGCTCGGTAACGCTATCCAGTCCTCTAACTCAGCACCTTAATTCACTTCGTCACTCTCGTGGAAGCTCTCTGGACCTTCTCAGTTATATTATTCGGCAGCTCGAGATGCGGCCTCTATAAATTGGGATGCCGTATATTCCAGCACTGGCCTCAGTGTATAATAACGCTTTAATCAGATTTCTGCCAGCGTCGCGCGCGCGCGCGTGTGTGTGTGTGTGTGTGTGTGTGTGTGTGTGTGTGTGTGTGTGTGTGTGTGTGTGTGTGTGTGTGTGTGTGTGTGTGTGTGAGAAAGACGCCAACTCTTAGGTTACTATTTTCAGAACTTCTCCCCGGGTTGTACTGTTCCTCTAGGCTCTTGTTATGTTCTCACCATTACTACTTTGCATTCATCTTGGATGAATTCCATGTGTTGAGGTGTAAGAGCGAGGTGATGGAGGCCAGGGTGTGCGCGCCACGGGGCGAGGTAGCAGGCTCACGTCCCATATGATTGGCAATAAAGCCATTGTGTTCCCAATATACAAGGGGAACACGGAACCAGTTTACTTAGTACCTAGAAAACCCTAGAAAATACCAAGAAAAACGTATTCAATTCAAAGCATAAGAAATATTGTCGGAACAACCGTGGACATCTTTAAGAGGAAACTAGATTTATTCCTCCAAGGAGTGCCGGACCAACCGGGCTGTGGTGGGTATGTGGGCCTGCGGGCCGCTCCAAGCAACAGCCTGGTGGACCAAACTCTCACAAGTCAAGCCTGGCCTCGGGCCGGGCTTGGGGAGTAGAAGAACTCCCAGAACCCCATCAACCAGGTATTCAAGAGTGTGGACAGAGTAAGAACAACAGAAGGTAGCGTAAAAGACAATAAGGGTTAGACAGCTCTTAACAATGACATGCTTTCTGAGCTCTCTGACTCGTTTACGTATCTTGATAATCTATTAGAGCCGTGTATGCCGTGATCATGTACCCCTCTGTTTCCGTTTACCTTCAGTTTGGCGAGGTATGGTTCACAAGCCTTTCTGCATGTGTTTGGAATACATTGTTTGGTGCTTTTTAAGTGGGGGGGGGCTGCATACAAGAGAGCAGGTCTCACGTAGGTAGTACATAGCTCCTAAGGTTTATGAAGGCTACACGGACGTTAGCCAGTTTCGAATAATGTACTTATTACGTTTATTTGAAGGTTATTCTGTATTTTATGAAGGAATGTTTCCTCTTCAATTTGTACTGTTTTGTGCGCGCGTGTGCGCGCGTGTCTCATGAAACAAACATGTGATAAATGTTCCAGGAAGGAAACAACTGTAAGTGTTATTATTGGAAGCCCCTCCCCCCCCCCCCCCCGCTACACACACACAAGAACAACACATCAGCTCACCTGTTATAGCTTGATCCGGACTTATACCAAGCTGCTGTATCATGTACCTGGAAAATATAATAATAATAATAATAATAAATAATAATAATAATAATAAAAATAAAAATAATAATAACAGGAACACGATCAGAGAGGTGCATGAATATCAATCTATTCCCCCCCCCTTCCTCCCCGAGCAACAGGCACTCGTGTCTATTACAGACAATTACTACAGGTGACAATAGATAGGCATCGACAAGATTGTCCTCACACCAAACAACCACCACTAGCACTCAATAACATTTACTCCTAGTGTCTGTCTTTGGCCCTAAAGCTGTATTTGCCCCCCCTTCTGAATATCAAACATTTGCAACAATTTATGCACTTGAAGAGCTAGACGATCACATGAATAAAGTGATCTACAGAAGGTCTGTTGACACGTACATTCAAGACAACAACTCTTGATATCCATCCCAACTCTTTTACATTATATATATTATATATATATATATATATATATATATATATATATATATATATATATATATATATATATATATATATATATATATGCTAAAGCTATTAACTGTACAGGAAGAGTACTCACCTGCAGATGATGTAGCCGGAGCGGTTGATGCCGTGGGTGCAGTGGACGCCAATCAGCTTCTCTGTGGAACACACACACCTCCAGTTACTCAACGGTCACACATTTAATACAGGAGGACAGTAGTATTAGCAGCAGTAATGAAACGTCCACTAAAACAATGTGCTGTGTGGAGTACAGACCAGGTGATGACGCATGGGGGCGTCATCACAACACACCTACACACACACACACCTGATGATCTCCACCCCAGAGAGGGGGTGGGGGCGAGGGGGTGAGGGGTGGGTGAGGGAGGGGTGATGGAAGTCATTAAGGACAACCCTCCACTTACACAACACAATCAGCCTATATATGCCACAGAACAAGCTTGGCACTGACACTTTACCTGTGTTGGTTCAGCCCGTCCTCTCCAGTTGCCACAACGGAGAAGGGAAGGGAATTGTCGGGAAAGCGCCAAGCCATTACGACTATATAGCACTGGGAAAGGGTCAGGATAAGGATTTGGAATGGGTCAGGGAGGGAAGGATTGGTGCCCAACGACATGGACGGTCGGGGATTGAATGCCGACCTGCATGAAGAGAGACCGTCGCTCTACCGTCCAGCCCAAGTGGTTGGAGAAAATGGTGTATTAATACGCTCGAACCTAACCTAACTAGTCGCTTAGAAAACGTGAATGCTTGTAAGACGATGATTTATAGTACCCCTTTATTTGTCCGTTGGGGGAGTTTGACGCCAAAATGCGGTGCAGTCTGTGAGGTGACCAGCCTGATTGGTTAACGAGAAGCACCTTGGCAAACCTTTAATGTTGCATACCTATTGCACCTCAGCTTTTTAGTGGAGCTATTTTGCACATCCTGCCATGCCTCCAGCTTTAATATGGAGTTATTTTCGTGTGCAGATTTGGAACCGGTCACTAATATAATCCAAGTGGAAATTATTATATATATTCCTCTCCTGAATGCTAGTTCTTATATACTGTCAATTAAAGTGACATTTGGGACAATACGAGTGATCCAGTTTTGACTGAGTTATATCTTTACACCACTTACAAGTGTATGCTAGATAGATGACTTCTAAAGATAATCACGAGAAGAGTGCAAAGTCAATGTTACTATATAGCACTATAGATGGAGTATGGGGACGGTGTAGGAAGAGTGCTCAACCACTGGGACCGTCGGGAATCGAACGCCGATCCCGTCAGGAATGCAGCTATCGTTCTACCGACCAATCCAAGTGGCTGGACAATAGTTTCTGAAGTTAAACCAAATGAGTGAGGTTTAGGGAAGGAGAGGGCAGGCCCTGAAGACGGTGTGCGAGTGAAGGAAGGCAGCCTCACACGTCAAGCCTGGCCCCGAGCCGGGCTACGGGAGTAGAACAGCTCCCAGATTCCCATCAAGCAGGTACAATTCTAGGTACAGCCATGAGCCAGATACAGGAGCACCTGGGAGTGGACGTAACGCCAGACTCGGCATCACAGGAGTACAAAAATAACATTGGCAAACATAAGAATGGTATTTAGTCTTGACCCACAACCAACGCTCAAGCGTTATGAACACATTACGTCCTCAAGAACAGCTTAATCAACAGTGGATTAAATATTGACGTGTTTGTGGTGGAAACAAGTCATATATGTGCTGATTGAAACCCGATTATGTTTGAACATAAGACTTGGGAAATACTTCACTCGTATCCACCTCGTAGTGTAAAGCAGCCAAGCCGGTCTAACCAAACTACATAGCCTTGGTCTGTGTAAAAATACTAACCCAAGCCCCTAACCTGACCAGAGTATAAAGCTCCTTATAAAATGCAAAACCAAAGACATAATTCAAGTCAATTCAAGACATTAACAAGTCAAGCCTGGCCTCGGGCCGGGCTTGGGAAGAACTCCCAGAACCCCATCAAGCAGGTATGGAGGCGTCTATACCTAGGCCAAGCAAATGAGAGCCATAAGAGTCGGAGGAGTCGTTTATGAAGACATAAAATATGGGAATCAGACCTATTCAGAGAAGGAAGCGACAGGGTCAAAGATCTTGGAATGATAATGGCAGAGGACCTAACGTTCAATGTAGACAACAACGCAAAGCATCAACAGCAAGAGGCGGGACCAATAGCCAGAGCTCAACAATTACAGACACAACTAGGCGAGTACAGCCAGGAATAAGGGTGGATAATGAGAATCTTCAAAACAAGGACTGCCACACTCGTACTTTTTTTTTTTAATCAATGGTGCTATCTTGATTGGACAATTGGCTCAGTTCTCAAATCCCGTATCAAAGGTGGCGAGATCGCAACAGCAAGAAAACATGTATAGATCCCTTTCTACCTGCATGGAATCAGCGAAGCACTTAAAACTACAAGTACTGCCTGAACGCTCACAAACTGTACTCCCTGGAATGGATAACATCGTAATATACACATGGAAGTTCAGGTGACAAACCTGCACAATGAAATTAGAACTGAAGGGAGAAGTCTGACGAAATGTCATTAAACCTGTAGTGCAACGGTGTAAACATCAGAAACGTCCTACACCTCAATCACCTGCACACAAATACGAGACATATAGCTGGAACGACAGTAGAGCTTTCAATAATGAGAACTTGACAGACTTCTGCACGAGATACCGACCAGCCTGGCTGTTGTGGCTGCGACCCTGTGAGCTACAAAAGACAAAGGTCACAGTCGGGGGCAATTACCGAGGCTGGCCCCATCCTATCCTGGCCGGGAAGGACCGACTGTTGTGACTATCCTCTCAACAATAGGGGGGAGGGGGGTAGAAATAGCCTAAACTACTCTATCCCTTTGAGATGTATATCTTTCAATAAACATACTTGAACTTGACCTTGAACTCTCAACAGTCAAATCTTAGCAGCAGCACCCCAATTCTTAACAGTAGGCCTCTGCTGACCCAGCAGTGATTGGGTACAAGGGTGTTAAACGACTGGTATTCAAGGGAAATTAGCGAGTAAGGCTTACAGTGATCTATGGGATTCCAAAGTGATAAAAAGTTGGATTTGGGTGGAAGGGTGGGGGGTGGGGAGGAAAGGAGAGAGGGATAAAGGAAAGAGGGGCAAAGAAAAGGTTGGGGGGGGGGAGCAGAAAATGGGGATGGGAAGGGAAGAATAAATGTAGAGGGAGGAAGAAGAGAGAAAGGGAAAGAAGAGGGAGAGGGGAAGAAGGAAAGGGGGGTAAGATGCAGCGTCATGGAGTGCGCACTTTGACCCTCCCCCCCCCCTTTACACCCAACTGCGTAGGCCCCCAGATAACACTCCCCCCCCCCCCCCAAGATGACAACTATCACGTCTTATCGTCCATATACCTGCTTTACAACCCCCCTCGCCTCACATCATAGTGGTTGGATTAATCACCAGTCAACAAGCCTTACTGGACGGTCAACTATCCACCAAGTTGTTAAGGCTTGGTGGTTGATGGTCTCTGCGGGACAAGCAGGTCGTTAACGTCTCCCCACAGAAACCGTGACCTATTCAGGAACTGTCACGGTCTGGGTAATGAGAGCCTATTGAGAAACGGCACTCTTCAAGGCACTGGTGGTCAAGCAGCGTCTGGAATGCTGTGCTGTGCTCGCTTCCCCCTTCCCAGGAAGGCAGGACATCCACAATGTGATCAAAGAAACCAGATACAGACGTGAAATATGTTTATAACAAGCTACATGAAGAACACATTAGGAGCGGGTAACCCTAACCTATGAAGTAAAATCATTTCTTTACAATGAAACATGATATACTTTGATGTCAGCCAGCAACCCATACGAGACAACCAGCTAATCACACAAGCCAGCCAACCTACCAGCACGCCAGCCAATCAACCTACCTACCTACCAGCACGCCAGCCAATCAACCTACCTACCTACCAGCACGCCAGCCAATCAACCTACCTACCTACCAGCACGCCAGCCATCCTACCTACCAGCACGCCAGCCAACCTACCTACCAGCACGCCAGCCAGCCAACCAACCTACCTACCAGCACGCCAGCCAGCCAACCTACCTACCTACCAGCACGCCAGCCAACCTACCTACCAGCACGCCAGCCAACCTACCTACCTACCTACCTACCAGCACGCCAGGCAACCTACCTACCAGCACGCCAGCCAACCTACCTACCAGCACGCCAGCCAACCTACCTACCAGCACGCCAGCCAACCTACCTACCAGCACGCCAGCCAACCTACCTACCAGCACGCCAGACAACCTACCTACCAGTAAGCCAGCCAACCAACCTACCAGCAAGCCAGCCAAGCAGCACCAGTGCCTGGTGAGGGTTGCCCTGTCCACACAAGACAATCCGTCATCTCTGGCCTTGGGGGGGGGGGCGAGGACGCACGTGACTCAAGGGCAAGACTCCCTGTAGGAAAGTTTGTGCCTCACACTTCGTCAGGAAGGTGTTAGTTTAATGATTCAGAGACGAGGCCACGTGGGATGTTGAATGTGTTACAGATGTTGACTGCGCTAGGAAGATGTTGGCTGCGTCGGTGGAATGTTGGCTGGATCCGGCGAGACCGGGTGGCTGTACCGGGGTTGTGACTGGTTAGTGATTCAATGACGTTGACTGAAACTGGAAGACTGTTGACAGTGGAGCAGATTACCCCCAGGACTGGACGACGGTTGTGCCAGGCACACCATGCAACTGTGGACACGAGCCACAGATTGAACGATTGAAAACATACCAATTATATATATATATATATATATATATATATATATATATATATATATATATATATATATATATATATATATATATATATATATATATATATATATATAATGTGTGGAGAGAGAGAGAGAGAGAGAGAGAGAGAGAGAGAGAGAGAGAGAGAGAGAGAGAGAGAGAGAGAGAGAGAGAGAGAGAGAGAGAGAGAGAGAGAGAGAGAGAGAGAGAGAGAGAGAGAGAGAGAGAGAGAGAGAGAGAGAGAGAGAGAGAGAGAGAGAGAGAGAGAGAGAGAGAGAGAGAGAGAGAGAGAGAGAGAGAGAGAGAGAGAGAGAGAGAGAGAGAGAGAGAGAGAGAGAGAGAGAGAGAGAGAGAGAGAGAGAGAGAGAGAGAGAGA